AGATTGATAGCTCTTTCTTGATTGTATGGGTGGTGGTGCATGGCCGTTCTTAGTTGGTGGAGTGATTTGTCTGCTTAATTGCGATAACGAACGAGACCTTGACCTGCTAAATAGCCAGGTTGACTTTTGTCGGCCGCCGGCTTCTTAGAGGGACTTTTGGCTCAAGCCAATGGAAGTACGAGGCAATAACAGGTCTGTGATGCCCTTAGATGTTCTGGGCTGCACGCGCGCTACACTGACAGAGCCAGCGAGTACATCACCTTGGCCGAAAGGTCTGGGTAATCTTGTTAAACTCTGTCGTGCTGGGGATAGAGCATTGCAATTATTGCTCTTCAACGAGGAATGCCTAGTAAGCGCAAGTCATCAGCTTGCGTTGATTACGTCCCTGCCCTTTGTACACACCGCCCGTCGCTACTACCGATTGAATGGCTCAGTGAGGCCTTGGGACTGGCTCAGAGAGGTCGGCAACGACCACTCAGAGCCGGAAACTTGGTCAAACTTGGTCATTTAGAGGAAGTAAAAGTCGTAATAAGGTTTCCGTACTAACATCCGTAAGGGTCGAAGTGTCAGAGCTACTTCCTGTATGGCCTAATGGTATTAGGCTTCCTTAGTTATAGATCCTTTATTATATAAGCTAGGTCGAGAGTACGTAAGGTATAAGTAGTTAAGTGACTTTATAATAGTATCGTGAAGTATATATTATAAATTAGCTACGAGAGAGTATAACTATAGAAGGGTAATAAGCGTAGCTATATACCTATAAGGTCCTCCCCAAATAGGTAACTAAGGATAGTATATTAGTATATTAGTACGCTCTAGTCTAATATACTAAAATATTATATATTTCCTCTTCTAGAAGTTACGTACCCTACGTAACCTCAGCCTTTATCTCCTGTACTTATACTGTACGAGGATTAGTTTAGGTTCGGCGTGCACGTTTAATAACGTATAGAGGCCTATCCAGTAGGTTAGTAGTCGTGAGAGGTTCCGTAGTTAGGATTTAGTCGCTAACGCGTATAAACCTCAGATTTAACGCCTAGGTTATACCGTAGGGTATTATAAGCGACGAGAGCAGATTAGGTAGTAGTGTTACGGCGTCACACAGCATAAGTATACAGTACTAATAACATAAATACGAACTCGAAGAGAGAGAATCTATCTGAGAGTATAGCGTACCTATGACGGTGTTAGCCACAGGCAACATGAAAAGGTCACGTGCTAACCAGGTCTTGGCAGAAGGTCACGTGCCAACCAGGTCTCGACGGCACCGTGACAGTCAGACTTTATACTATCGAATAATTACAGGGGGGTTACTGGCGCCGTTCGGAGGTCTTCGGTCGACGATGGGCCGGTAACGTGACCGTCATTACATTGCCTTGGCAATCCTGTGAAGTCACATGGAGGTGTGACGGTCGCCAATTGCCAAGAGTTGATTTCTGCCAAGCCGCTAGCAAATGTGGCCTCACCAAACCATTTAAAAACTGGTTCGGTGCTCCTCGAGCGAAGCTTTCTTTTCCTTTTCTTTCCTCAGCTCTGTGAGTACCACCAAATTGCGTCCTGGGGTTCGACTGTACTGATGCTTCTCAGCTTTGCCAACTGGCTTAGATCAAGTGTAGTATCTGTTCTTTTCAGTTTAATCGTGAGTGCTGTTCTCCTGGAATTCCATTGAATTGGTGCTAACTTGGACAGTCTGAAATGTGAGCAATCCGCCACTCTCCAATGTCTTCTGACGCGTGCTGACTGTCACCAGGTCACTACGGTGACAAACATTGATTAAATTTATTTTTGCACCTCGCTTGAGTCATTCTGTGCTTGCACAGAGGTCTCTCGCACCGTGTCCGAGGCCTTACACTGCCGCCTTGTGACGCGAATCACCCTTTTCATCACTGTGCTTGCCTTGTGCAAGACTTTGGAGAAGAGTCCAGAGTTTGGGACTTTGATGTAGGAACTGGGCGTAGTAACAGCCCGTCAGGGATTCCTGCGGTAGGCGCTGGATCTTTCCGGCGCCTACCGCATGACATTCACGAGACACACATCTTGATAGATCGAGTAATGTAGTACGTTCAGGACTGAGCAGAATAAAGGAAGCACAATAAACTCGCGCACAAGGTAGAGACTAAGCACAAGGCCTGAGAGTCCACGCAATCCAACGTACCTCGGACAGGGCGGCGAGCCAGATAGCTAGCGACAGCACTCAGCTTTTTCTTTCCGTACAACCCAACCACCCAAGGTATGCCATGTTCATAAGTGATCACAAAACCAACATTCTGTCATAGATAGCATGATGTCTGCCGATACAACCATGACTACCAGCGCGGCTTCGGCTGCCTTCCCAAACGTCGACCCCGCCATCTTCAGCTCCCTTCAAGCGAAAATAGACAATGATACCGCGATCCGCGACGAACTCAAGAGTATTGTCGAAGCGCTGTCGAAGCAGGGAAGAGTAACGCAGTCGATCCTCTCTCGCATCCACAACACGCCTACTGAGGACCTCGCAGAATCTGTCCTGGCGCCTTGTTCTGAATCCCTCAAGGAGCAGGCGGCTACGGTGAAAGACTTAGCGCAGGCTGCTTCGAAGTATCCCTTCTACAAATGGAATTCAATATGGCAGCGAGAGATTCAAAATGTGGTCAGCAACATACAAATGTGCGAGTGGCTCAAGAGCGGAAATCTCGTCACTCTGGAGGATGTCGGGCACAGCCTTGAAGGTATTTTTCAGTCTGGCGTTGCTTCAGTCGAAATTGCTAATTACAGTTACAGTACCGGTCAACCTGAAAGACGAAGATACCTTCCATGTCACGATCGAAGACTACCTGCTCGCCCTCACCTACATGATCGAAGAGCTTGCGCGCCTTGCCCCTAACGCAGTCACACTTACCGACTACGCTCGCCCGTTACAAATTTCGAAGTTTATCAAAGACGTCCATGCAGGCTTTCAGCTGCTGAACCTCAAAAACGATACCCTTCGGCGAAGGGTAGATGGCCTAAAATACAGTGTGAAGAAGGTGGAAGATGTAGTATATGATCTGAGTCTGAGAGGATTGATTCCAAAACACTGAGCATGCGCAAGTTGATGGCATTGTGGCCCGCCGCCAGAGGCACGTGTACGTTCCCATGAAAACATACCTTGTTCTATGGCTATGTTCTTTCGCACAGATATCAACAAGGACTTGATCACGATGGTTGTCTAGGCGGCTAGGAGTTACCATAAGGTTGGTTCCGATTGAACGAGTACGGGCATGTGAGGGCTAAGCACGACTTCACAGGACACAAAAATTATCCTACACAACAAAACGCGGTTGATTGTCAGACTCCCTGAGCTGCAACAGTCCACGTCGAGCTCTTTCGAGCCACGAGAATTTGAAGCTGTTTCGATACTGTATGATAGCAGCTGGCATGCCATGGACGATACAGACTGGACTCCTGTGGACGGTGTCCTCTCTTCTCTGTATTAACTCTGCATGCTGTCTCGTCCTTATCTTCTGATGACAAGTTCATCCACCATCTGGCCAGTTTTGTCACCGGTGCAGTCTGACCTCACCTAGTGACCTGCGGGACGAGGCGGCTCGGTCGCCTTCTTAAACTCATCCCCATCTGTTCTCACGCTACTTTCAGCTGTCGCCGGTTCTCTCAACCCAGAAGCCGATCCTGTGCCCAGTTTCACGTTCACCCCTCCACTGCCAACGTTCACTGTGCGTTGGTCTGCTGATTGGAGATCTGCACTCACTCCGCCCACGGGCTGATCAGGTAGAGGTAAATTCGCCTTGACGCGATCAATCTGGTCTTGCTTGGATTCTTGTTCAGAGAGGAGTTGCTGTGAGACAGGTCAGCAGACTGATAAAAGCACATCATTGGGTCGGGAACGCTGTGGACGCCTACCTTAATTGCAGATGTGTCCGAGTCCTTAGGTGTCTGGCCACCATGGAATTTCGACTCCTTCGACTCCATCTTACGGACGTCCTCACCAGTCACGTGGAATGTTTTGTCGGACATTGTCGTCTTGCTTGGGCTTGGTCTTGAATCTGTGCTGATAATGACGTTTGTTCAGAAATGAAGGAAGTGATAATGGTTCTGGTGGTTCAAGGTCCTTGAATTTTATTGAGGAAGAACGCAGCAAAACTCGGAGTTCTGCCTGGCTCTTTATTTGTGGCCTCGAGCATTTTGGCCATGAAGACGTCACCCATGGAGGACCAATGATGAGCGATCTACTTGCCAGATTCTCATTCTGCCATTAATCTCGAAACTTCGCGCAGAGACATTGCGAGGATGAAATACGTCACGGCCAAATGAAGTCTAGCGCCGAGAGATGTCTAGAGGGGAAAAGCCCCGGTCCAATCACTTTGGTTCTGTAGGAAATGCGTTTTTGCCATCGAATTGTATGAGTGTTTCGTTGCGGTCCGCTTCACGAGGACGGTTGCCATTTCGGAATCGTCCTGGACCATCTGTAACACGATATTTCCTGCAGGAGATGAGGATGTACAACAAATTTCCGAAGTCGTGGCAAACTGTTCCAAGCTGCCGCTCGATAATGACAAAAGTTGGCCAAGCAGCAGATCTTAAATTTCAAGCAAACTACCCGATTTCGAGGTCAATATCGTCGACGCAGAACTCCCAGTCTTTCCATTTGATGTTCTCGAAGTGGAACTCAGCCCACATCTCCAGTTTTGTCAAGCCCTCCCAAGTCTTCCCAGTGAATTTTTCCACTCGAACATTTAGAACATCATGAAAGCCAGCAGGGAAATCGACACTCCAGGAGAAAGTGCTATCTTCATTCGGACGAAAGCCTTGAAGACTGATGGCCACAGAGCCGACCGGCATGTCGAGCGGTTTTATCTTCAGCCCACGGAGAGTGAAGGTCTCGGTTGAATTGTAGAGGTAAATAGAGGGCCGTTGGTCCAGTAGGTTCATGAAGCCCTGTCGGCCATTCGATAGACGGGCACTTGCGGCTCCGTACAATGCGTTGGGTTTTGAAACCGCGCAATTCAGGTCATTGGCGGAAATGATGCCTTCCAAGCTGGAGTGCGATGGTTTGAAGGCATAGAGGTCATTGAACACAAATCCCTTGTACGGTGGTATCATCTCTGCGAAGCCGTCTGGGGTCTTGATCTCGTCGAACTGCAACACGGTCAACCACCACCGGGCACAAATCGAATCTTCGAGAGAAATGGTCACGAACATTCAGCACTTGGTGTTCTTGGTCGAGTAGTACTTGCTCAGAATGAGCAGAAACGGCATTAAAGCAGAAGGCCAGGACGAAGCATACCAAAACAATGGAATGTAAGCGCAGCATGCTCTGAAAAGTCGGTTGCCTCGAGTTAGACAAACACCGCGCCACGATCGTAATGAAGGTGCCAATTAAATCGCTAAAGCGGAGATGTACCAGTGCTGTGATAAGGAATGAAAAGCGGTAGAAAAGCTGATACCAGATCATTCTTCTGTTTCAACAACCCACTTGGACTTAGAGATCCAAAAACGCCTCGACATCTCCTTGCCATGGGTAGACCGGATTTGTATCGTCAACAAATGGACATGCGGCAAAATAATTTTGGATTTGAGGAATTGCGGGTTGCACTTTGGAAAAGTTGATTCGACACCTGCGCCCAACGTCATTTAGCTTTCCGCCTCGTATTCATCTTTCGCCCACAGCCTCTGACAGTCTTCCACAGTACCATACACAAAACAGGACTGCTAGTCTGAGAATTTGGCGGCCGTCCAGGCCGGGGAAACCGCCCTGTTTTTCTTTTCCTTTTCTCTTACCAGACTCCGCTCGAGAGTGCTTCCCTACGATGCCCCGAGATCCACTCATTGGGCTTGTCGGAAAACCATCCTCTGGCAAGTCAACAACTTTGAACAGGTATGCTTCACCTCCCTGTGCTCTAATCTCGACTTACGAACCCCTCACAGTTTGACAGACGCCAGTTCGAAAGTCGGTTAGTGATGCGATAATTCTTCCCGACCAAGGTGGTGGACCAGGCTGATGATCTCTGCGCAGGCAACTTCCCGTAAGAGACGACCCCTCAGCCCAATCTAACTGCGCCTGGACTAAACCTATGTCACGTCAGTTTCACCACGATCGACCCTCAGAGAGCCGTTGGATACCTTCAAGTCGACTGTGCTTGCAAGCGACATGGCCTTGCCGAGAGATGCCGACCGAATTATGGTTCCTGCGTGGATGGCAAGAGATCAGTACCTATAGAACTCCTTGACGTTGCCGGGCTGGTTCCTGGTGCACATGAAGGCAGAGGACTTGGCAACAAGTTTCTTGACGACTTGCGCCATGCGGATGCTCTTATACATGTGGTCGATGTCAGCGGAACAACGGACGCGGACGGCAAAGCCACGCGTGGCTACGATCCGAGCGTGGACATTGAATGGCTGCGTGGTGAGATCGTTCGCTGGATCCAAGGGAATTTAATGGAGAAATGGGGAAGTATCAAACGGCGGCATCTCGCTGTGAAAGCGTCGCCAGTGGAAACCCTCCAAGCACAATTTTCAGGCTACGGTAGCACCAGCGCAGTTGTCGCTCGGTGTCTGGACAAGCTGCAGTTGAAACAACCCCTAGAGGCATGGAGCGATGAGACTATCCTCAAAGTCGTCAACGCATTCACGGACGAGAAGTTTCCAACAGTACTTGCCTTGAACAAGATCGATCATCCTGACGCAGATCGTAACATTGCCAAGATTGCAAAGCAACAACCGGCAGACCGAATTGTTCTGTGTAGCGCTATCTCAGAGGTGTTCCTGCGTCGGTTGGCGAAGCAAGGCTATATCAAGTACAAAGAAGGAGCAGAATACCTCGACACGAGGGAAGATCTGATCGAGCAGGGGGATCCGAAAGGCGGAGGACTCAAAGAGATGGACGACAAGTTGAAGCAACGGATAGAGAATCTCAAGGATATGGTGCTCTATCGCTTCGGGAGCACCGGCGTCGTGCAGGTTTTGACTCGTGCAGCAGCAATGCTAGGCCTTGTGCCAGTATTCCCCGTCAAGAACATTCACACATACGGGTCAGGAACAGCGGGGTCTACTGCTGTGTTTAGAGACTGCGTGCTGGTGAAAAAAGGCAGCACAGTTGCGGATGTGGCAAGAAAAGTCATGGGGGATGCTCCAATTGCATTTGTCGAAGGCGATGGAGGCAGGAGAATTGCAGAGGATTCGATAGTGGAGGTTGGGAAGAACGATATCCTGTCATTTCATGTCGGGCGATGACGATCGGGCTCTCGTTATGCGGCAAGGGACATGAACTCCAGGTACGCAGAGTAGACCGACGAGATCAAGCAATTCCATTTTCCCATATTGAGTTACTATAGATCAAATGGGCGCTTTTCTCGGATTCAGTGTGTTTTCTGGCCAAGTAGTTAGCAAGTCGATCCCATTGTTCATCCTCAAAAAATCATAGCAGGACAATGGAGGATATGCGACATACTGATCCTCTTTCATCATTCATCCCAATCACCGGCTCTGGTGCTTCAGGATGCTCCTCCTTTGCCTTCTTGTTGCTGTCTCTTTCATCCCTGCGTGAAATGGCATCGCTACCTTCTTTCATCTCTTCATGATCATTCATCCCCTGCTGTGAAGTCTCGGCTTGAACGTCATGAGCGGGACGTTTAACTGCGTGGTCACGGGCATGCCGACCGCCCCAGCCGGGAAGGGAATCGTGAGCAGCGTTGCTAGTTGTGCTATCCGTAGAAGATGGCTGGGAGTGTTGATTGGAATTGTAGAGAAACCCGAGGCTTGACAAGGGACGGGTGTTTCGGTGAGAGCAGAGGTGAGGAAGTGTACGGCCCTTCGGTAAAGTCTGTGGGAGACGATACATGGTCGATTCGAGAGGCAGTCGATGTGTAGAGGATGGGTACCAGTCCAACGGGTCGTGTGTTTTCTCGACTGTGTGGTCACGGTAGGGATGAGGCAGAGAAGTCACAGGTCAGTGGCGAAATAAAAGGAGTCCTGCACTTACCTCACATAAAAAGGGTTCAAGAATGATGCTCTCACCGTGAGACTCAAATTCGATGTCCACATTAGCTTGGTCAATTCGACACCACATTTTGGATACATGTCTTCAATGTCGAAATAATGACGACATGAGACACAGGCAAGTACATTTGCAGCCCATGGCCGCCATGGCCAATGCGGAGCAGAAATTGGCTTCCGGACAATCTTCTTGGCACCAATGACCAGCTGGGAACAATAACAATGATTGCGGAGTACCAACGACGAGGAGTCCAAGAGGTCGAGGCTGTCGGGAAGCCGTTGTTCCTTACAACTCTCCTCGACAAGAAAAACCATTGGTACGTGCGTCGACGCAAGTGTCTGACAGAAGTAATCTCCCAATGTCGACGTCTGGACAGCACAAGCACTTTGTTGGAGACAGCCCCGTCCGTCAGACAGGACGACCTCGGGTAGCCATCCAACCATTCTACCTCGGGATGCGCGCAGGTCGCATTCGAGGGCCGAGCTGCGCGCAATGAGACACTCTGAAGCTCAGGGTTTGCTCGGTCCATTGTCTGTCGATGAGATCTTTATCGAACCAAAAAAAAAAGGCACGGCTACGAGAACCCGGATCTTGTCAGTCTTGCGAGCCTTCCCACGGATTCCGAGGCGCATCTACCACGAGTGACCCAGGAGATACCGAGTACTTGTCAAACGCTAGCGCGCCAACCTCTTCATCGGCCACAGCATTTTGCCGGCGCACTTTGAAGTCTTTACGCTGAAGGCTGATTCGAGGGACTGGACAGCGGTATTGGTTTTGCGGGGTCGAGGCCATCTACTCTCCGCGGTGCCTCGGTTCCTGCATCTTTATCATTGCCGAATGTAATTCATTAAGGACACTGCTTCACCTTGTTCAGAGTCTGATTCCCGCCACTAGCCTGGGAAAACGACAAGCATGGCTTCACAGTTGCGGTACGATAACCAAGTCGCCATCGTCACCGGCGCCGGCAACGGCTTAGGAAAGCAATATGCTAAATTTCTTGCCGCACGCGGCGCAAAGGTCGTGGTCAACGATCTAGGTGGGACTTTCAATGGCAACGATGCTGGTGGCAGAGGCGATTCCAAGGTCGCGGACGTTGTGGTCAAGGAGATCAGGGATGCTGGTGGTGTTGCTGTGGCCAACTATGATGCCGTCCAGAACGGCGACAGAATCGTCAAGACTGCAATCGATGCGTTCGGGAGAGTCGACATCCTCATCAACAACGCCGGGATCCTGCGCGACATCACTCTTAGAAATATGAAGCTCGAAGACTGGGACCGCATTGTCGATGTCCACGTCCATGGCGCTTTCAAAACAGCACGAGCCGCGTGGCCTTACATGCGGAAGCAGAAGTACGGTCGAATCATCAACACTTCATCGTCATCTGGTCTTTTCGGGAACTTCGGACAGAGCAATTATGCGGCAGCAAAGATGGCCCTAGTCGGCTTCAGCGAGACATTGGCCAAAGAAGGAGCGAAATACAACATCACTTGCAATGTACTTGCTCCCGGCGCAGCTAGTAGACTAACGCAGACGGTCTGGACGCAAGACATGATGGATGTCATGAAACCCGATTGGGTCGTCCCACTCGTGGGCGTCCTGGTCAATGAGAAGTGTCACGAGAATGGAAGCATCTTTGAGGCTGCAGCGGGTCATTACAGCAAAATCCGGTGGGAGCGCAGCAAAGGATTTCTCGCACGCCCTGAAGATTTGACCGCCGATCTAGTGCTTGAAAACTGGGGGAAAGTTGTAAACTGGGCTGGTGCCGAGCATCCAAACGAAACTGCCAATGTCTTACAATTCCTCGACGAGGCCAAAAAATTGCCGAAGACCAGCACGCAAGCCGGCAACCGGGTGAATTTTTCAGGCAGAGTCGTCTTGGTAACTGGTGCCGGTGCCGGACTGGGCAGAGCATACAGTCTTCATTTCGCTCAACTAGGTGCAAAGGTTGCAGTCAACGATGTCAAGAATGCCGAGAAGGTCGCCAATGAGATCAAGGCCCGAGGAGGCGAAGCAATTGCCATAGCATTGTCCGTCGAGGATGGAGCAGCCATTGTGAAGAAAGTGGTGGATACCTATGGCCGCATTGATGTCGTGGTCAACAATGCCGGTATCCTGGGAGACAAGGCTTTCGCTAATATGACAGACGAGCAATGGTATTCAGTCATGAATATTCACCTGAGGGGAACGTACCTCGTTACCAGAGCAGCATTTCCCATTATGCTCAAGCAGAAGTATGGACGTATCGTCAACATCACCAGCACGAGCGGCGTCTATGGAAACTTTGGACAGGCTAATTATGCCGCTGCGGTGAGTCCGCTCCTTTGTTTGTCATGAGATCTGCACACTGATGATACTGGCATAGAAATGTGGCATAGTCGGCTTTACGAAGACCATCGCTCGAGAAGGCGCCAAATATAACATCGTGGTCAACTCACTCGCTCCAACAGCAGGGACGAATATGACTCGCACCGTCTGGCCCGAGAAGGTTGTCGAAGCCGTCAGACCTGAATATGTCGCACCTGTTGTTGCTGCACTTTGCAGCGAGAAACCTCCGGCGACTGGACAGCTCGTTGAATCTGGCGGCGGGTGGGTTGCAGTCACGCGCTGGCAGAGAGCTAGGGGCGTTGACTTCGACATTGAAAAAGGAGTCCCGAGCGTGGAACAGCTTGCGGAAGTAAGTCATGACGAGCGGTATACTAAAATTGATAGACGCTGACCAACTATATAGACATTCCCGGAGATCTGCAATTTTGACAATGGGAAAGCAGACAATCCGGAAGATCCACAAGACGGCAACAAGTACTCCATGGGCAACGTGATGAAAGTCCCCAAGTTTGTAAGGAGCAAAGGCGTTGAAAATTGGGTGATGGCTGAAGCTAACCATGTCCTAGGCCGAAGCCTTGTCGCCAGGAAAGAGCGTCAACCGCAAATATATCGCCAAAATCAACGAAGCCATATCCATGAAGCCTATCAAATCAACCTACACCTATGATGATCGAGAAGTCATTTTGTACAACCTCTCCATGGGCGCCCACCGAACTGACCTCGACCTTGTGTATGAGGGCTCTCCGAACTTCCAGGTGCTTCCTACTTTCGGCATTGTTCCGACGTATTTCTCGACCACGCCCTGGCAGGTGAAGGATATCGTCCCCAACTACGACCAACGCATGCTCCTCCACGGAGAGCAATACTTGGAGATCAAACAGTTCCCCATCCCAACATCGGGCACGCTGACGACGGAAGCACACCTGGTAGAGGTTGTGGACAAAGGAAATGCCGCCCTCGTCAGAAGGGGTGCCACTACGGTTGACAGCGCAGGCAGGCCCGTCTTCTACAACGAAAGTGTATCATTTATCCGGGGAGCAGGCAATTTTGGTGGTCAGCGCAAACCTTCTGATCGCGGCGCCGCCACGGCCTTGAATGCCGCACCGTCTCGTACGCCGGACAAGGTCGTTGAGGAAAAGACGTCGGAAGATCTTGCAGCAATTTATCGGCTCTTGGGCGACCGCAACCCGCTCCATATCGACCCGAAATTCTCCGCCGTCGGTGGATTCAAAGATCCCATTCTCCATGGCCTTGCGACGTTCGGAATTACAGGGAAGCACGTATTCCAGGCGTATGGACCATTTAAGAACATCAAGGTCAGATTCAGCGGCACGGTCTTGCCAGGACAGACCATTGTGACGGAAATGTGGAAGGAGGGAGGAAAGATTGTGTACCAGGCGAAAGTCAAGGAGACGGGCAAATCTTGCATCAGCAACGCCGCAGTAGAATTGTTGCAGGGCGGTTCAAAATTGTAAGTGGGGGCGGGTGATGCTGTAGTAATCTTGACAATCTCTGCAAATCATAGTCTGTGTCTTGTACCAAGGGTAGTAGCCCATATCGTTCTGTGTATGTAACCTACGATCTCTCATTGTATTCGCGATGGCTCGAAGTTTGATATGGCAGAAAGTCGACACACATAGATCAGAAACACTGTGTCGAGCAGCTTGTGGACCAGGGACGCCTTTCTGTGCCATTCATACGGTCAGATCACCTGCATATCTCTTGGTGACCCATGCATGACACCACATAAGTATTACTCGTACAGTAAATCCCAGATTCCTTGGTGGAGACGCAACCAGTCCGAAAATGCAGTAGATCATTCTAGAAATGGCTATGACGCTAGCCTGAACAGGAATGGGCAACCTAAAGCTAAAGTCATTACTATCCACGACCATGCTTGCATGCCTTCATAAGGCCATGGTCATAAGGGCAGGTATGAGCACGAACATTGGTGACTCGTATGCTCACAAAACAAACAATACTCCAATGGACTGAAACCCAAGTTCGGAGGAAATAATATGTATTGTGACTGTACAGTCAAAAACTATAAACACAGTGTGCTTTGATTCCGCCTCGCACTGATAGATCTAGGGTACCTCTTGCTACTACTTGCTGCACATGTCAATTTTGCCTCCGTGCCACCCATTTCAAAGCACCTCTTTCAACCTTTTCAACTTTGGTATCATCGCCACGGACTCCTTTCTTATTCCAGGTGGCAGCCTGCCTCAAGTCCAAACAGCATCGGGGTATATACGGTACTTTGTCGTCAGGCATTTTTCGTCACCATACAACCATTTTAAAACATTTCTCGCTCTCTGCAAAAAGAAGCACACCATTCCAGAGCATCTATCCATTGCGCACAGTCACTCAACTTGCACCGACTCAAATAGAAGCTTAAGCCTCGACCTCGTGAAAATCAAACTCATCGTCCACCGGGATAGTAATGCCCCGGTATGTTTCCGGGAGGTCTAGGCCGTCGCCTGTGGCCGTTGAACCGTTGTGGCTCCCTGCAGTGCTGAACAGGAAATCGTCGCCGCTAGTCAATGATTCCTCAGAAAAGCTGAGTAGGCTTTGAGGTACGGGTGCTTTTGTTACAAAATCCATTCCGGAGAGATGCCACGCGTCCGGAGTCCATTCGTTGCTTGGTATCTGATAGAGCGAATGGCTACCAGCTTGTAGGTCCTGGTAGATCGCTGGGTTCGTAGGGTCGAAACCGTCTAAAAGGTTTTCCCAACCAGAGTCGGGGA